CTTCGATGGAGAGGGGTTGGCACTCTTGTTATGCTGGTGTGTGGCGTACACGAGGTAAAGCAGAGAAGGTGTAGCGATGAGGACTATATGAAACACCCAGAATCTGTACTGGGAGATGGGGAAAGCCAAGTCATAACACACCTGCTTACATCCTGGCTGGAGGGTGTTACAGGTAAATTCCTCCTGCTCGTCCTCAAACATGTCACTGGCCACAGTTCCCAGGATCACTATCCTAAACACCAGCATGAGGACGAGCCAGAAACGACCCAGCATCGGCGACTCGGTCTGGAGGTCTTTAAAGAATCCACCGATGAAGTCCCACTCACCCATGACTGCAGCTCTGTCAGGCCTTTTGGAAGTCTGGAGGCTTGTTCAGCTGTCTGTCTCAGAGCAAAGGCTGCTTTTGTTTTAAAAATGAAACTAGAATTCTTGCTATTATAATCTCCAATATATGACTCACAGTGAGACTGTACCCAATAAAAGTGATCAAAGGTAGCTTATCCATCCTAAGGGTTGACTGAGTTCATACTCCAGCGGCCTTAAACCAAAAATAAAACATTACATAAGAACCTGCAAAGACTATCAACAATATCATTAAAGACATAAAACAATAACAGCAGCTTACGAGCCTTTAAGAAACTCTTACCCACTAACATTATAGAGTCAACTGCTCCAAATTTCTTTCTATTTTAGGATATATACGTGGTTTTGACTCTTTGAAATTGACTCTGGAGGAAATATACTGACTTGGCTATGTTCCAGAGATGACAGTGATGGCAAGATAAAATGGGTTGAACATTGATTTGCCTTTCAGTTGTACCAACTTGTGGTTATATGAAATTCTCTACTTTGTTTTATTTTTCCCATCCACTGTGTTTGGTAGCATCTTTGTGTCTAGTATGTGCTTTTACTTCCTCTATCTCATCATCATTGATTCCTTTCAGCTGTCTTGTACCGCAGTTTTCCCCATGTCTCTGTGTACATCAGTGTGTCTGTTTAAACCCTCAGCCTGTTTGTGCGTTTTTGTCACGTTGTACTATTTGTCCATAGTTTTTGTTTTTCTCCTCCACTGTCTGTGCTATTAGTTGCCTCCTGGACTTGTGCCTCACTGAAATAAAGGTTTGTTTTAGTTTATTCATTCTGTCATTTGGGTCTAACGTCACACATAAACATTGCATGGGATTCACAAAGTTTATCTCATCTTATAATAGAAAATATCACTGAGAGTTGAACTGTAAAAATTGACCTTGGTGCTAGCAGTTGTCTTGGCTTCAAGGCGTGATATGAGTTTATCTGAGAAGTTGTCAGCGTCGTCACTGAGCTCCTTTTTCTTTCTGGAGCTTTGCTTTCCCTTTCGAAGTCATTGGTGTCCAATGAAGAGACCATCTCGGTGCAAGGAGCACTGGTTGCAGTGATAAAAAACCCACGCCAAATATAAATGTGCTATGATTTCTTTTTATTTCTTTTCTTTTCTTTTTTTTATTTTTTTTATTTCAAAAGAACAATCATTCTGAAATCCATTAGCAGAGACAGCAGTCTGGTTCATCAGCAGATTCACCTTTAGTTTTATGTTCACTCTGCACTCTGTGGGCACATCCACTTCCTCTATCTCCATTTAACACTCAGACAGGCCATCGACCCCAGGATTTTCTTGGCTTTCTTGGTAACGGGCATGAATCAAAGAGCGGTGCTGTTTTTGATGCTGCTTTGCATAAGAATGGGTTTCTTTGTGAAACTTTAACAAACTTTACAGTTAAAGTGCAAATCTTCACAACTTATGTATGATTATCAACATTTTTAAGGGCTCTGATATGCTGTAATATCCATGTCAGACTACGTTTTCCACAAGACAGGTGTACACTGGTTCAAAATAAATATCTACTATTGTAAAATAAATATATAGATATAGATGGATGGATGGAGAAATCTAAGTTGTACACAAGCAATATATAATTCTGCCAAAAGATATTTATTTATTACAAAAAACAACACATGGCTGGGCTATTCATAGACTTGAGAAAGGCATTTGACACTACAGATCACAATATATTAATAAGAAAACTGGAACATTATGGTGTCAGAGGGGTAGTTTTAAATTGGGTTCTGAGTTATTTAAGTGACAGGAAGCAGCTTGTGAAATTAAATGGCTGTTGTTCCTTGTGTATGGACATTGCTTGTGGTGTACCCCAAGGGTCAGTTTTGGGCCCAAAATTCTTCAACTTACACATCAATGACACTTGTAAAGTGTCCAGAGTATTAAAAATGGTACTCTTTGCAAACGTTTTCTGCTCTGGTGATGATCTGCAGCATTTACTGGATGAGATGACTAATGAAATAATTAAAGTAAAATTCTGGCTTAAAAACAACAAATGATCATTAAATTTGAATAAAACTAAAATTACATTGTTTGGAAATAGTAGTTTAAATACAAATGCTAAGATTCAAATAAATTATAATAATTTCTAGGGGTAATAATACATGAAAAACTTAACTGGAGAGCTCACGTAAGATATATTCATTCCAAAGATTCAAGCATTGGAATCCTAAACAAGGGAAAGCAGGTATTAGACGGGACATCACTTCATATTATCTACTGTTCACTGGTTTCACCTTACTTAAGCTATTGTGCAGAGTACAGTACGTTACATTACATAAAAGTACATTACATTCACTTTTTACTCTTCAAATAAAAGAAGAAAACAGTTTGAATCATCCACAGTGCAGGGATCATACAAACTCACTTTTCTTGCAGTCTGAAATATTGAAATTGGCTGATCAAGTGAAATTCCAAACAGCACAAATTCTATTCAAAGCAAAAAACAAGGAACTGCCAGGTAATACTGAGAGTATGTTTTTCATTTTAAACAAGGAATTTATAATTTAAGGGGTTTTTGTAACTTCAAAATTGTGAAGGTACGTACGGTGTGGAAGCAACATCCAAACATAAAGCAGCTCAAAAAGAGTTATAAAGATATGATTTTCTTGAATTATAAAGAAAGGAAAAATGTTGAAATTCAGTGAATGTCTCTATTTCGAAAATGTCATGTGATGTATATATTATCAGAAGTCTGTTTGCCATTTTTACTACAGATTATATCAGTAAGGAAGCTGACTATATATTGACTGATAGCTTATGGCAAAGGGGTGGGATTAAATAAGTGTGTACTTCTTCCCACTCCTTTTCGATGTGTAACTGAATCGGAACAGATGAAGCAATATTGAAATAAATTAACTTTATTTGTATAGTATTTTTTTCTCTTCTTTTCTTTGCTAAATGTACCCTTATATTGTTTACATGATCGAAATAAATTAACAAACAAACAAACAAATAAACAACACACGATTGTTGTCGTTTGTTGTGGCTAAAAATCTTGTCTGCCGAAGCCTTGACTGGGTTGAATCGTAGGCCATTTATGCAGAACAGGAATCGCTTCCTTCTTTTAGTTGTTCTTGACACACACATGCACAATGTTAATATATCTGATCAGAAGCATGGAGGAGATTCCAGGAGCCAGTTACTTAGTCTAGCAGAGGTGGAGAGGGTCGTAGAAGGTCTTTAATCCACCAGCAGGACTAGTATCTCCTTGTTCATGCAAGGAGGAGCACGATAAACACTGACATTTGACATGTGGGTCATTTTGTTTCAGTCCATCTGATTCTGTCAGGTTGCACCTCAGTTTGTCCAGGAGCTCAGTGATGCCCTGACCCAGAGCATGCCCTGAAGTAGTCCTTATTAGAGATGGCACGATACCACTTTTTTATGTCCGATACCGATACCGATATCATAAATTTGGATATCTGCCGATACCGATATGAATCCGATATAGTGTTTTTTAATCAACAAAACTGTTTTTTTTTAAATATCTTGCTGCATTTTGTATAAGTTC